ATATCACATCTAGCAATGATCACTGAGATGAGGATATACAGCGGGATCTCTTGGGGCGGTGTATACAACTTCTCTCAACATAAGGTGATGGTGCACATCTCTTTTCCAGTAGCAATAAAAAGATGACTGGGGGGGATCTCACCTTCCCTTACTCTACTAGAGAAAAGCTTTTTTTTTGTCTGTGCTGTTGTTGATTTTCCCTTAGGCCCCATTCTCACTGAGCGGATTTCCGCCACGATATCACGCATTTTTGCCACGTGATATCGCGAGAAGTCGCCGGCCAATGCTTTTCAATGAAGCTGTCTTCATGTACAGCTTAATGTCGCGATCGCAAGTCGCTTCTACAGGAACCTTTTTTGGGAAGATTTTGCGTGATTTTTCTTTTTTTAATGCAGCCCGACAGTGAAGGTCACGCTATCATCGCCCCGAAAGTCGCGCTATCCCGGCCGCGCGGATCCACTCCAAAAGGTATGTCGCTTAGTGTGAATGGGGCCTTAGCCCTTGTTCACACGGGTGAAGGGATGGGAAAAACAGCCAGTTGATCCACTTTTTACTGCGCCAACCCCCCCCCAACAAAAAAAAACCTAATGTGGCGGCCGCTCGGGTTTGTACACATGCCATAGCAATTCTTATACAGCATGTTGCATTTGGCAGGTGGTGCCGCTTGCCGAACATGATCATGCTACCGCGTGCCAACTGTGTGCGCTCGGTCCCTTGTGTATCCCTGATCTGCTTACTTGTTTTGGGATGTTTTTAAAGGGGCCAGTGGCTAAGTATGGGGGACCAGACAACTAGGTTTTTCAAAGGGAGGTCAGAAATTATGTCCTGCTAGCGCTGAATACTGAAAAATGGCCTGGATGGGAAGGGGGTTTAACACCGCGGATGTCAACTGGTTAAAGCAAAAATCTGGTGGGAATAAATTCTACCTCCACGCTGCAAGGGTTAAGTGCTCGTTTGTGTCGAGGTTAAAAAAAAAAGTTATACTCATTGGATCGTTGGAGCCATCCGGCTCTTAGACCAGTCCCTTCCTCCTTGCTCCCCCTCCACTGCAGCCGTCTAGGGATCCTCATCATATTCTATACAGTGCATAGGACGTGAGGATGCCGTGCGACATATCATCTCTGCAGGAGAAGAGGAGACTGGGGTGAGGGTTCGGTGTCGCAGCCGTCCAGACCCCCCCCCCCGGATTTCTGGTTTAAGAAAAGGTTCCATGAGGGCCCATTCACCGCAATCATTTGGCGGTATTACAAAATCCTAATTAGGATTTAAAAAAAAAACAGGTATTCCAAAGGCAGAGTATCTCCTCCTGAGAGCCTGCAAACCACCGCTCAACCGCACTCCGATAAACAATCCACCGCAGATCGCGTTTCAGAGAACGGTAAAAATCTGCCATGAACGAGGCCTTCCTTCCTGTCTGTACATGGTGCCTCAGGTTGGATTGGAGTGGTAGCTATGGGGCCATTGTGCTGCTTTCAGAACATTGTACTCTTTGCAATACTCTATAATGCTGCAGGTGACTCGGTGCTTGCTTTAGCCACTCATTGAGCTGTTTGGCTGGAGTTCTCTCTAACTGGTTCTGTTGAGTAGTGAATTCGGATCTTTGATGCCATTCCTGCTGCCTCTCTCCTCCAATTCCCCCACCCCCCCAAATGGTGTCACCCTTTGCTCCCAGCTCTGTATGCACGATTGACGGTGTCTGCTGGGCTGTAATGGGATCGGAAAGGCCACAGAAAAGCAGGCAGCAGAACACAAGGCTAATCTCACTGTACATTATTTTTAGACTGATTAAAATGATCCGGTTGCTATGGAGACCCGAGCGTATATTACTATGAACCCTGCGAGGCTTTGTGGCTTACCGTGGATTTATATTGCTCAGCGGCCAGAGGGTTAAAATGGCTTATAGGAGCCAGCATCCCATAAACTTTGCCTCAACCCTGCTCAGGATCCGCATATTTTAAAACAAATCGGTGTCTGGTGGAGAGCTGCTGATTTAACATCTGTGGCCTGACACCCTGATAACTTTTGTGACTGCGTCTTGGTTCAGAAATACTCGGCTATGTAAGCAGTGATGTGCAGAATCTGATCGAGTTCCTGTGATGGACTACAATCTTAGCTTTAGGTCTCGTTCACACCTAGGCGTATTGCATATGCGCGTCTGTCGCCGCGTTTCCGAAGGCTTCTTGGCTGTATCCCAATGGAAACGCACAACAAAACGGCCCAAAGTAGTACATGTACCTTTTCAGGCGTGGGCCGTTTTGTAGCGCGTTAGGAACGGGCGGAAATACGCCAAGGTGGGAACGAGACCATTGAATACAATGGGATTTATATTTTTGAGCGTTTTGTAGCGCGTTCTACGCTCGACGAACGCTCTACAAAACGATCGCGCTACAAAACGTTCAGGTGTGAACGAGGGCTTAGTGTACTAATTTTGTATTGAGATTGTAGTCCATCACGGGAGTGAGCTTGGAGCGGTGACTACTTCACAACGCACACAGGGACCATGGGGAACAAACGTAGCCCCCCTCTAGAAGTGTCAGCTCCAATTCAGAGATGATTTGAGGATCTACAGCCGAGTGATACACAAATAAGAAACCTTTTTGTTAGTAGTAAAGGTGGCCATAAACTGTGAGAATTTTGGCCAGTTTTTGAACCACTCTTTTGGCCGGCATCCCTCGATCAGTTGATCAGTGGAACCGGTCGGAGACTGCAAGCAGAGCTGGCAGCAAATGAGCTCCAGGCTCTGTTTGAGTATTTTGACAGCGGCTGCTGTCAGAATATATTAAAAAAAAAAAAACCCAGCAGGGATTCCTCTATCAACATGCTCGTAGTGTTGATGAAGGGATCTGTTCTATTGGTTTTTGTTCAGCCGACGGGTGTATGACCAGCTTTAGGGAACCTAAATGCATTTTTAAGATGTAACTCCTAAGTTCAGTGTCAATGGCCACACACATACTGGGCGAATGTCGTTTGAGTCCTGCTGACCCAGTTGGGATCCACTTGTTTGACAGAAGCTGATTTTTCATTCCTTTGAGGAAGGAGCTGGTTATTGGGTAAAATATTCCCCTCACTTCCAGTCCCACAGACACAACAGTAAGTTAGTGGAAATCTTGAGGACTTCAGGACAAATAGAGAGGATAAATCTTCTCAATGGGGACCACCTGGCAATAAAACACTTGTAAGTATTGGCAGAAGGAGGAGTGGGATATAAAGAGAACCTGTCACTTTGTCCTGGATCGGCAAAAATGTATGCATATCACTTCTGGGTCAGTGACTTAGATGGTTTACTAGGATGGCTAGGCAACTATGTGGCTATGGCAGCTGCCATGTTCCTTTCAGGACATCCTTTTTCTTTAATGCTGTGAATATGTGCTGTCTCCACTGATTCAGGGCTGTTCCAGGATTTCCATAAAGTCTAAAAATATCTCCTTTCCTAGAGGCATGCTGTGCCCGTGTTCAGGAGCATCTTGTCGTGTTACATGCCTGCTACCCGTCCCGAATGATAATTTCTCAGTTTTTCTAGCCCCAGTCTAAGAGCCAGGTAATAAAATATTCATCGGAAGTCTCGTGTACGTGGCGGGGGGATATTTTGGCATTAAGGCTCTCTCCCGGCTCTCCGACGCGCTCCCTTTCTGTCTCTCTCATAAATTTATGTTGGAGGTGTTAATGGCTTGTCGCTTCAATTAAGCTGCCTTGTGAAGATGCTCTCGTTCTGTTGCCTGATGGGCCCTGGGCTGTTAAATGGGATAAAGTGCAAACGCTGCAACAAGCGATCTTCATGAGGACAGGCGGTGGTCGGTGCGCAGGGGGTGTTCTTGGCACCAGCCGGGCTCCCTGTGCGTGCAGCCATGTCTGACCCGAGTCGTTTTGTCTTCATGCTCTGCCGATTTGACATTTACATGTCCCAAGTGTTGCGCCAGGCTGGTGACTGCGGGCCGCTGGTTCACGCAAGTGAATAATCTTGTACAGTGCCATGAGCTATGTCTAACAAGGATCTTGGCTGATGCGTTTAAAGGAAAATGTATCTCTTTTTTTTTTATTTTATTTTTAGTAAGCTCAAACCCTAAGTGCATGACCTTTATTTGCTAAAGCACTATGGGGGGAATTTATCAAAACTGGAGCAAACAGAAGCTGGAGCAGTTGCCCATGGCAACCAATCAGCATCTCTCTTCAGTTTGCCCAGGTAAGATTTGAAAATGAGAGAGAGAGATAGAAGCTGATTGGCTGCAGTGCAAATCTGCTCCAGATTTTGTCTGTTCCAGTTTTGTTTAATTCCCCCCTGTGTGTCTTCAACAGGAGTCATGGTTCTTCTCCAACCTCTTTTAACCACTTCCTGTTTACATGCACTTGCTCCAGCGTCTGCTGCACATCATTGCTCTGGACTGGCCACCCGACAGTGACAACAGTGGACCACGCTTGCGCCATGTATGTGGGTGCATGTGACAGGGTGACAACGCAGGAGCACAATTGGGAGACAGCTGTTGCAGCATAACAGGAAGTGCCTTAACAAGGACCTTCATGGCAGGTTTGATGCAGCACTAGGAAGCCAAGGCTGCATATGTAATAATAAAGATGGCTGCTTCTGTGCACATTTGTGACTACAAATTATATGCACAAATATAGTTTCTAAATTAAAGTGACTCCTTCATGGGGGGGGTTAAAACTGTTGCTTGTGTAAAGTGCAGGCACTTCAAGGTGTTCATACCTGCAGCAGCCTCCACAGGTAAAGCTCCAAAACTATGCCAGTGTTGTCACTTATGCTAAGTCCCGCCGCCCACTCGTTCCAATTGGCTCCTCATTTCAGCACTCTGGGAAGTGGCATAGCTTGCTTGTCAGAATGGCTTGGATGTGGCCGGAGGGTTGGGGTAGCTGCTGCAGGTGCAGACACCTATTGAAAAGAGTCCACATTTAAACTGGAACAGGCAACTCACAAGGATCTTTATTTGAACCCCTTAACATTCCATTAATAAGTGGTACATATGATCTGTTGTTGTTACCTGCAGGTTCGAGTGGTGCTAAAGTACAGACACTGCGATGGCAGCTTGCGTATAAAAGTCACAGATGACGTTGTGGTAAGTTGTCTTTTTGTGCCAGAATGCCATATATATTAGCCACATTTCCATTGCCTTAGGACATCAAGGGTGGGCCTGCCCTCTCATCACGTGACCGCTCTCATACCCCACAGTATTCATAATAAGTGAACGCACATTAGCCATACAACATACATCATCTGAGGCTGGCTTACAAAGTGCATGAAATAAACAAGAGCAGGGATAAATGGCAAGTGTACTACTGGATTGTGAGCCTGCTTGGATCGCTATCACACACATTCGCTTAATGCCTAGAGCCCATTGCACTCCTAACCAATGAGTCAATATGGGCAGGTGGGTGTTACAGTCATCAACAGATGGCACTGCTCAATGTAGAAAGAATAATCGTCACCAGCACTGCAAAATCAATGATTCATATATGTCTTTGATATCATGATATCGCACAATAGCGATGTTTCGAGGCCACATAAGGTCCCCCTTTATCAGGCAAAGCAATCAAGCAGTGACTGCATCAATAATGACGTATTCTTCATTGATTTTGGAGTGTCTGTGATCATTATTCTTTTCACACGTTTGTTGCATAGAGGGTGGTTCTAGTTTGCTGTGTGCATTGAACATTAAGGCCCTATTCACACAGGAGGCAAGGCGTGGCAGAGTGAATGCTGCATTTACAGTGGCCAGCAGCAACGGGTGTCAGATCTGTACTTTGTACAGGAGAGTGGCCGGTGCAGCCGCTGTTTACATGTAGCAGCTCATCCGATGCAGATTATAGCCTCTGACTGACCCAGGACACTTGTTGAGTCCAGAGACAACGCTTTTGTGCAGTTTCTGGCCACACCATTATTTGGGTCAGTTTGTATGCAGCCATAGCATAGAATACAGCGGCGTTTAGCCGCCTCTGAACGCAGCCGACTATCTGCCCCAGATCGTCCCTCTTAAAGGGGCCTTTAATAATGTTACGGTTATACATACTGTTCCTCGAAGGTGCATTTGAGACAACAAACACTTTTTAAAAATAACTTCTGATATAATGTGACCATCTCTTTAAGCAGTGCATACAGCCAAGCAAAAGCGCATATAATTAAACTCTAAATGATATGTCATCACATTTAAAAAAAATTGTGTGTGTGAGTATTTGCCATTGGCAACTCCTTTCCAAGCACCAATGGATGGTGTCTAGTGTCTTTTACTACCTAAGATGAACGCATGAGCAGTAAAATACTCCCATGTAAAGTTCAGTGATGCTTTTTATAAATGAAACTCTACATCTAGCCAGTAGGACAGGAAGTGGGGGACAAATCTTTGTAAGGATTCATGTTGAAGGGCTCTTTAGCCAAAAATCTGTGGTAACATAACGCAAACTATTCCAGTGAAGTATGTCCACTTATGGCATGTTACCTCACATAAAGCTTGCCAGCAAAAGATTTTTTTTAAATGTGACGGAATGCAACAGAAGGAAATCAGAAGCTACAATTGCAGATCAGCGGACCCTCCGTTGGCCTGCGAGTACCTTCCGATTTTGGTGTGAGAAATAACGGGAGCGCTAACTTGCCTACCAGTTGTAAAAAGCTGGTCTTAGGTTTTGGGTCATGTGACAGGAAGCTGGCATCCACAATGCAGAGTGGACTCATTTTAGGCCTGGTTCTCACCTAGGAGTTATTAAGCAGTTTGAAAAGCGCTTTTAACTGCCCATGATTTTCAATGGCCCTGGTTTATACCTGAGCAGAAAAACACCAAACGCCTGAAAAGATACAGGGGCAGTTAAAAGTTTGCCCCATAGACTTAATCGGAGATGGCCAAAAATGCGCAATGGAAGCACGTTGCACATTTTCGTGAGTGGTTTTGGGCGTATAAACCCCCTCTGAGCAAATATTTTGTCTGGCCGCGGTAGGGCACGGATAAGGGAGAGTTTGACAGCTCATAAACCATTGCCCACAATGGTTTATGAGCTGCCAATCAAAACGCGCGGCTTCATGTATGCATGTTAAAACGCACATACAAATATGGCCAAGGCGCAAATAACCACATGCTGCTAACGCACGTATATACGGTGCCGTCTAGGTGTGAACCCAGCTTTAATGAGGAATCTACTGATGTCAGCTGCTCAGTGCACTGCTGCTGTGGGTCATGTGACCAAGCACCGCAGAACAATGAATCTGTTTAAAGGTAATTTTAAGTTCCCTCCCCCCCCCAAAACCAAATCGGGTCCTGCAGCCCTCCAGTTTCAAAATGTGTGACCTGCATCCGCAGTGCGTATCTTAGAATGCATTGGGATTTGCTCCCTGAGATCCCCCTATTGTATTATTCGAAGGGCGTGCGCCCAAGTCCTGAGCAGTGTTCTGTACCCACACGTCCTGCAGCTTGCCAACACCTAGTGCCACAGATTTGCACAAGTGACAGGTCCCCTTTATTGGAAGCATTCCGCGCTCTCCTCCTTATTGTACAGATCTGTGACGTGCTCCTTTTTTCTTTTCCGTCTCTTCCAGTGTTTGCTGTACAGCACAGACCAGGCTCAAGACGTAAAGAAGATCGAGAAATTCCACAGTCAGCTGATGCGGCTCATGGTTGCCAGGGAATCCCGCAGTGCCGCCATGGAAACAGACTGAGTGTCCGGATAGGACAATCCTGACCGTACAGATATTATTTTTTTTTTTTTCTTTTATGTCCATCAAGACAGAGAAATGACTTTAATAGAAAAAGGAGCCGGTATTTAAGCTTGCCAAACAATGCTTAGTACTTTTTTATTTTCGGAAGAGCTATGCTTTCGTGTGAAAGCTTCTATTTATTATTGAAGATGGAAGAACATATTTGATTTCTCCTGCCGACGTCTCACTCTCCTACAGAATTTACACTCGGGCAGCATGTAAATATGAAAGTTTTTTTTTTTTTTTTTTAATTTTCCCGCGGGGCGCGTTAAAATATAAAAGTTTTTTTTTTTTTTTTTTTCTTTAAGGATCCAGAGAAATTGTCATTAACATCTGTTGAAAGTCATCTGCCTCAGTGTTTCACCTCCATTTTATTTGGCAAAACTATTAAAGGGTATTTAATCTGTTTTTGATTTTCTTGCACCCCGATTTCTTGTACTATGGTATTGTACTATGGTATGTATGCAGCCCTTCATTTGATAGCTATGTTTGTGTATTTAACAGCCCCGGAATTGCTTTTTATTAACCCTTGCAGTGGAGCTATTCCAAGACCGCAAGGGTTAACTTTAATGTTTGTCTAGGGTAGTGTTTCTCAACCTCTCTAGGGCCGGGACCCCTTGGTAACATACGGTAAAATTTAGGGATGACGCGGCTGCTGCAGCGACATGTGGCGGGAGAACTGACACTGCTGCGCTAGGAGAGGGCTGAGGAGGAGTCTCACCTAGCACAGCAGAAATCACACAGCGACCCACAGGTTGAGAACCGCTGGTGTACACCGTCAGAATAAAAAAAAAAGACCATCATAGGAATGCATAGCTAGATTCCTATTGGCTATTTCACTTTGCACTAGCCAATAGCAAATATTGCACCCGCCCTCTGCTGCTGTCAATCACTGCTGCTGTCAATCACTGCTGCTGTCAATCACTAGAACTTCAGGTCCCCCTCTGCTGATTGGCAGCAGCAGAGGCTGGGTGCAATAGCTAGTTTGCTATTGGCTATTGCAAAGTGAAATAGCCAATAGGAATCTAGATATGCATTCCTATGGTGGTCTTTTTTTCTTTTTTTTTCTGACTTCCGGCGGCCCCTGATGAGAAAAAAAAAAAACGATCGCAGGGAACGGTTTATTCTGCTCGATTGAGCAGAGTAAACCTTTCCGGGAGAAAGTGTTTCTCTCCCGGGCGGCCGGGAGCCGCTATCTAGTAGCGATACAAGAGTACTCTGCTAAATTGCTCTTGCCCTCACAATTTATAGTTTAACAGGATACAAGGGGTGTTGACCGTCCCCAGGCAAAATGAAGGTATACGTGACCTGTTTGCAGTTTAGATGTAGGATTAATTATCAGTACATAATTTATGTGCCATCATTATCTGGACACGAGGAATTCTTAAAAACAGGAAAAGTGACCCTTCTTTGGACAACAACTAGAGCAGCATTGCCTTGGGCAAAGTACTCAATGAATAGGTGCAGATAAGAGACAAGAATGACAAAAAGTATTCCACACTTCCACCATACCCCGAGGCCTTTTTGCACTGTAAAATCATTATACAGCGCAATAATTTACAACCAGCTATAGAGGAATACAACAAATCCCAGCCAGCAATAATACATTATACAGCGGCGCAATGCAGGCAGAATACCACCAGCTATAGAGGAATACAACAAATCCCAGCACATGCATTATACTATAATGTATTTTTGCTGGACCGAACCGTACCAAGTGGGGGCGGGGGGGGTAATAGCTAGTTTGCTATTGGCTATTGCAAAGTGAAATAGCCAATAGGAATCTAGATATGCATTCCTATGGTGGTCTTTTTTTCTTTTTTTTTCTGACTTCCGGCGGCCCCTGATGAGAAAAAAAAAAAACGATCGCAGGGAACGGTTTATTCTGCTCGATTGAGCAGAGTAAACCTTTCCGGGAGAAAGTGTTTCTCTCCCGGGCGGCCGGGAGCCGCTATCTAGTAGCGATACAAGAGTACTCTGCTAAATTGCTCTTGCCCTCACAATTTATAGTTTAACAGGATACAAGGGGTGTTGACCGTCCCCAGGCAAAATGAAGGTATACGTGACCTGTTTGCAGTTTAGATGTTAACAGGATACAAGGGGCGTTGACCGTCCCCAGGCAACACGAAGGTATACGTGACCTGTTTGCAGTTTAGATTTAGGATTAATTATCAGTACATAATTTATGTGCCATCATTATCTGGACACGAGGAATTCTTAAAAACAGGAAAAGTGACCCTTCTTTGGACAACAACTAGAGCAGCATTGCCTTGGGCAAAGTACTCAATGAATAGGTGCAGATAAGAGACAAGAATGACAAAAAGTATTCCACACTTCCACCATACCCCGAGGCCTTCTCCTCACTCAAAGCCCATCCCCAAGGACACCTTACTGGAATGTAGAAAGTTTGGTCTTCCTTTGGAATAGTTCAAAAGTTCATGCAGGTAAATGTTGGTGAATCCTTGATGCAAAAGTTAAAGGAGAACTATGGGGTCAGGGTTTTTCCCCATAGTTCTCCTTAGGGTAACGGGAGGACACAAACTAGCGTCCTCCCATCACTCTAAGCTATACAGCTCGCGGTATACTGAGACGCCGCAGCTGAAGTGGATCCTGACAATTGTGCCGGGATCCGCCCAGCTGCGTGAGTGACAGCTGGCTCTGCCTATGTAGAGGCAGAGCCAGCTGTACCCTCCCCCGTCCGTTCCGCCAGTCAGCGCTGGAGGATCGGAGGGGGGAATCCAGCCCCTCCCCTGTCACGGCAGAGAGCTGTGAGAGAACGCCGGTATGTGTTCGCTCACTTCCCAATCTACTGAGCCGACCTGTGACAGTCTCATTGTCACAGGTCGGCTAGAACTATGAGGGGAGTGAAAAGCACTCCCCTCATAGTTCTCCTTTAACCACCTCCGGGCCGCAGGGAACGGTTTATTCTGCTCGATTGAGCAGAGTAAACCTTTCCGGGAGAAAGTGTTTCTCTCCCGGGCGGCCGGGAGCCGCTATCTAGTAGCGGGAGACTCCTGGGTGACCCCTGGCAAATCGTCATTCGACCCCCAGGTTGAGAACTGCTGGTCTAGGGAATTAAAGGAGAACTTATGAGGTGAGTGAAAATCACTCATGACAAACAGTTTTCTTTAACTCTTGGCGCTAATGGCTGCCAGCTGAACGATCTACTTGCTGTTGCATAATCAAAGTTTTCAACAGTTTATCACAGTTTTTCACACAGACTTGAGGGGCTGCTCATCCAAGGCTCTGGGGCTTCCACCACGAACATAGAAAACAAAAGGGAACAGAGCGCCACCTCCGTGTGTAAAATAGTTTATTAAAACAAGGGCTAAATGTACTCAAAGCCTGATGAAAACGTTTGCTTGTAACAACAAACAAGAGGCCACACCCCTTCATGAGGATTCTGATGAAGGGGGCTCACCCCTGAAACGTGTCGATCTTGGCTGACTGCGGCCGGTGATGTGACAGGAGGCAACCGTGGTACATAGTCGGGGCGATACCATGTTGGGTTAACAGACAGTGTGGCCTCTTGTTTGTTGTTAAAGCCTGATAAACGTTTGCTTGTGAGTACATTTATCCCTTGTTTTAATAAACTATTTTACACACGGAGGTGGTGCTCTGTTCCCTTTTTGTTTTGAAAATCCCTCATCCTCATAGTTAGAGCCGACGTGCGACAATGAAACTGTCACACGTCGACTCAATTGATGGGGAAGTGAGGGAACACACCGTCGCTCGCTCACTTCTCGATCATCTCCCTGCAGAGAGCCGTGACTGAGTCACCGCTCCCCACAGGGATTCCCCCCTCTGATCCCCCAGAGCTGACTGGAGGAACGAATGTGGGAGGGGGTGGGCAGAGCCAGCTGTCACTCATGCAGCTGGGTGGATCTCAATAGCATTGTTAGGATCCGTCCCGGCTGTGGCGGTCTCAGTATACCGCGAGTGGCAGCGCGCCATATCCTGAGCTTTGGGTCACAGGAGGATGCTAGTATATGTCCTGCCGTGACCCTTAAGGCCTGGTTCACACCTGGGCGTTTTACAGCGCTGATCGACGCGCTGTAAAATGCCCAGCAAGTAAAATCCCATTATTTCCTATGAGCATGGTTCCCACCTGGACGTATTTCAGCGCGTAGGAACACGCTGAAAAAAGCCCTATGGCCAAAGTAGTACAGGAGCTTCTTTTGGGGTGTATTTTCTGCGTGTATCCATTAGGATACAGCTGGATAGTCCTCGTAAACGCATGTTTGTCACACGTTTTGACCGCAAATTGCGGTAAAAACGCATGTCAAACGCGCATATTACGAACGCCCAAGTGTGAACCCAGCCTAAGAGAACTATTGGGAAAAACACTTACAACATAGTTCTCTTTTAAATAATAAAAAAAAAAGTTATACGTACCTGATCCTCGGAGGCGTCCCACTGTCACAGCGCTCTCACCAGCCTCTCTCCTCCTATGCTCCAGCGATGCTCATCAGCGTTCTCACATCCTATACACTGTATAGAGTGTGATGACTCGGGGGACCTTAGACCACTGCAGGGGGAGAGATGGTCTTGAAAGAAGAAGCCGGCCTGGAGAATTGGGCGAGTATAAATTTCTTATTTTAGTCCCTAGATAAAAACAAGCAGTTAACCCTTAGAGTGTGAGGCTAGCTCCACTGGAAGGGTTAATAAAACAATTTGGCTACACAAATACCAACCATTCCATTGGGATGTAGGTGTTTAAACGGAATCTGTTGTCATACAATATGGCCAAACGTTTGTGGACACCTTGTTGTCAACCCAGGACGAGACTCCGAGTTCTTTTATGAATAGGTGAATAGGTGAATGTATTGACTGTACAGCAATATTGGGGAGATACAAGCAGGGCAGCCTTCAGAAATTTCGGGGCCCCTTACACAGCTTTAGGCCGGGGCCCCCCTCCCCGCACCGCCGCCATGCTGAGCCAGTCAGTCAAACATATATAATCCAGCCCCTCCCCTGTCACGGCAGAGAGCTGTGACAGGATCGAGAAGTGAGCGAACGCCGGTATTTGTTCACTCACCTCCCGATCTACTGAGCCGACCT